GGAGGACAACGAGAGGAGGAGGACAACGAGAGGAGGAGGAGAGGAGAGGAGGAGGAGGAGGAGGACCAGGCAACTGACATAAAATCTAACAACCCTCACCTGGCAGGTGGGGAATCACAAAAAAATCACCAACCTGAAACATGTCTTGACGCTGGCTCATAGAAAATTAAGTTGCATCCAAAAGTTTAAGTTGCATAATGTCAACCCCGGATTAATAAACCCTGGCTCATTAATTCGGGAGTACCTTCCCCAAATCGTGATATTTTACTACAAAAACGCAAACCTCCCAAGTCAACAGCTGATCAAACCTGGCCGGAAAGTCCCAACTTACGAGGATTTTCCCAGCTAGAAACCTCAATTTACAAAGATATTCATGGATCTTCCAGCCAGCTATGTTTGATCAGCAAAGGATCGATTTCTCGCTCCAAGGCAAATGGAAAAAGATGGTAAGACACAGATCAAACATGGTAAGCTTCACTTCTGAGATACGTATAATAATAACTTTTAGTTACATGTAAGTATAATATGTAAATATATATACACATACTAACAGTAAAGAGTTATAAATATGTAAATATATGTATACACATACTCATACTTTTAATTATATGTAAAGGTTGACAAGTATGTAAACTCGTACGTTTTTTGAAGACTGTTTTAGGTACATATAAATATATATATATGTGTGTCTTGTGCATGTATGTATGTATGTATGTATGTATGTATGTATGTATGTATGTATGTATGTGTGTGTATGTATGTATATTCAAAAAAAAGTTTTTTTAAAATGGACTTATTTGTGTAAATTGATGTATTTATATGTAACTATATGCACACATATATATATATATAACTCGTAGAAATTAAAACACCCTCACCACGTGACTAGAAATGATGGTTTGTAATACTGAAAAAAGGTACCTATCCGAGAATGACAAAGATCTTAAAAGTGGATTCTACATTGTATCCTGGGAGTCCGCGGCGTTTTTCCACCGTTGTTTGAAGAACAATCAAACAAGATGCAGCCCACGAACCCGAATGCAGTCACGTAAAACACTTTTGTGAAACAAACTATAGGAAAAGTATTGTGCTTGTTTCCTCCCCTGTTACCTTACCAGTGCACTGTAGACTGTGGAATGTGGAATGTGGTGTAATGAAAACGCGTGGGGTGTGAGGAAAGTGGAGTGTTGAGTGCGGAATGTAGCGCGTAGTGCGTGGAGTGGGAGGTGCGAAGTGTGGAGTGTTGAGAGTAAAGTGTGAATTGTGGAATGTGGAGTGTGGAGTGTAAAGTGTGGAGTGTACAGTACAAAGTGTAGAGTGTTAGGTGTAAAGTGTAAAGTGTGGAGTGTGAAGTGTCAAATGTAAAGTGTAAAGTAAAGAGTGTACAGTGTACAGTGTGGAGTGTAAAGTGTAGAGTGCAAAGTGTAAAGTGTAAAGTGTGGAGAGCAAAGTGTAAAGTGTGAAGTGTGGAGTGTGAAGTGTAAAGTGTAGAGTGTAAAGTGTGGAGTGTGGTGGAGTTTAAGTGTAGAGTGTAGAGTGTGGAGTGTTGAGAGTAAAGTGTAACAGTGTAGTGTAGAGTGTGGAATGTAAAAGTGAAAAGCATGGAGTGTGGAGTGTAAAGTGTAGAGTGTAAAGTGTGGAGTGTGGAGTGTAGAGTGTGGAGTGTAAAGTGTAAACTGTGGAGTGTGTTGTGTAAAGTGTAGAGTGCGGAGTGTAAAGTGTTAAAGTGTAAAATATGGAGTGAAGAGTGCGGAGTGTGGAGTGTAAAGGGTAGAGTGCGCATTGTAGAGTGTAAAGTGCAGAGTGTAAAGTGTGAGGTGTGGAGTGTGAAGTGTAGAGTGTGGAGAGCAGAGTGCAAAAGTGTGGAGTGTAAAGTCTGGAGCGTGAAGTGCAGAGGAATAGTGTACAGTGTAAAGTGTGGAGTGTTAAATTGTCGAGTATGGAGTGTAAAGTGTAGAGTGCGGAGTGTAAAATGTAGTGTGTGTAGTGTAAAGTGTGGAGTTTGGAGTGTAGAGGGTATAGTGTAAAGTGTAAAGTGTGGAGTGTGGAGTGTGAAGTGTAAAGTGTAGAGTGTAGAGTGTAAAGTGTGAAGTGTGGAGTGCGGAGTGTGGAGTGTAAAGTGTAAAGTGTAAAGTGTGGAGTGTGGAGTGTAAAGTGTGGGTGTGGGTGTGGGGTGTGGAGTGCAAAGTGTAGTGCGCAGTGTAAAGTGTAGAGTGAAGCGTGTGGAGTGCAAAGGGCAGTGTAGTGTAGAGTGTGGAGTGAAAAACTGAAAAGTGTGGAGTGTGGAGTGTAAAGTGTAGAGTGTAAAGTGTAAAGTGTAAAGTGTGGAGTGTGGAGTGTAGAGTGTGGAGTGTGGAGTGTAAAGTGTAAAGTGTGGAGTGTGACGTGTAAAGTGTGGAGTGTGGAGTGTAAAGTGTTAAGTGTAAAAGGTGGAGTGAAGAGTGTGGAGTGTGGAGTGTAAAGGGTAGAGTGCGCATTGTAGAGTGTAAAGTGCAGAGTGTAAAGTGTGAGGTGTGGAGTGTAAAGTGTAGAGTGTGGAATGTGGAGAGCAAAGTTTAAAAGTGTGGAGTGTAAAGTCTGGAGCGTGAAGTGCAGAGGGATTGTGTACAGTGTAAAGTGTGGAGTGTAAATTGTCGAGTGTGGAGTGTAAAGTGTAGAGTGCGGAGTGTAAAATGTAGAGTGTGTAGTGTAAAGTGTGGAGTGTGGAGTGTGGAGAGTAAAGTGTAAAGTGTAGAGTGTGGAGTGTGGAGTGTGAAGTGTAAAGTGTAGAGTGTAGAGTGTAAAGTGTGAAGTGTGGAGTGCGGAGTGTGGAGTGTAAAGTGTAAAGTGTAAAGTGTGGAGTGTAAAGTGTGGGTGTGGGGTGTGGAGTGCAAAGTGTAGTGTGGAGTGTAAAGTGTAGAGTGAAGCGTGTGGAGTGTACAGGGCAGTGTAGTGTAGAGTGTGGACTGCAAAAGTGAAAAGCGTGGAGTGTGGAGTGTAAAGTGTAGTGTAAAGTGTAAAGTGTGGAGTGTGGAGTGTAGAGTGTGGAGTATGGAGTGTGAAGTGTAAAGTGTAGAGTGTAGAGTGTAAAGTGTGAAGTGTGGAGTGCGGAGTGTGGAGTGTAAAGTGTAAAATGTAAAGTGTGGAATGTGGAGTGTAAAGTGTGGGTGTGGGTGTGGGTGTGGGGTGTGGAGTGCAAAGTGTAGTGTGCAGTGTAAAGTGTAGAGTGAAGCGTGTGGAGTGTAAAGGGCAGTGTAGTGTAGAGTGTGGAGTGAAAAACTGAAAAGCGTGGAGTGCGGAGTGTGGAGTGTAAAGTGCAAAGTGTGGAGTGTGGAGTGTAAAGTGTGGGTGCGGGTGTGGGGTGTGGAGTGCAAAGTGTAGTGTGGAGTGTAAAGTGTAGAGTGAAGCGTGGGCAGTGTAAAGGGCAGTGTAGTGTAGAGTGTGGAGTGTAAAGTGTAAATTGTGGAGTGTGGAATGTAAAGTCCAGAGTGTAAAGTGTAGAGTGTCAAGTGTAAAGTCCGGAGTGTAAAGTGCAGAGTGTCCGAAACATTGCGCCTGCCACGCCAGAAAAACATTCCACACACGACAGACCTTCACCAAATGCTACACTTCTCACGCAAAATCACGATGGAGGTCTCCAAAGCGCTGCGCCTGCCACGCAAAATGCAACTCATCTTCTGAAAATGAAAACGACGTAAAAGTATTGGTCCTGCCACACAAGACGACTTTCGACACCTTATCAAACAGGTTGGAATGTCACGAAGCGTCACGCCTGCCACGCGAAACGACATGACAACCGGCCTGGAAACCTTCGAAAAGGAGAGGTTTTGCAGCTTCCCCCAAAGACACGGCGAGGCCACAGGAAAACCAGAGACTCGAGACGCGACACATGGGAGCATCAAAACGAGTATTTCGTGTCAGACTTCCTCATCGACGTTTTCCTACGAGTTTTCTCATGAACCTCAAAATTTATCAAAATTTGCTATCTCAAAATCGAAGTTTTTGGAGGCTTCCGTCACACTTCATCACATCTCACAAAATGCCACTCCTGCCACGGAATTTGCACGTTGTCACCATTTCACGCAGCCCTGACAATGCGATTCAAAAAACGCACGACACGACACGTCTCAAATGACAATGGAGGTCTCCAAAGTGCTGCACCTGCCACGAAAATTGCAACTCAGCTTCAGAGAACGACGCAAAAGAATTGCGCCTGCCACACAAAACGGCTTTCGGCGCGTTATGAAAAATGTTGGGGTGTCACAAAGTGCCACGCCTGCCACGCGAAACGAAGCTATGCGACATGTGGAACCTCCAAAAGTAACTACTTTTGCAGAACGCACCATAGGCACGGCCATGCAGCCCTCACGCGACCACCCGCGGACGGTTGCGAACGCAAACGAAACGTCGAGCGAACACACGTAATTACCCTCCGCCCCCAGACACCCAGTGAAACGGAACCCTTGCTACACATTCGGGAAAAGCACATGTCACATGTCCGTGAAACCCTACAGGGTTTAATGATCATTGGGTTCCACCATGTCATGGACAACATGACCGGTCTGGGTCTAACTGGTTCTTTAAAAAAACAAACTTCTATCATTTCTCTCGGAAACATGTTCAAATATGTTCAATAATTTTGTTGTGCTCATGTTGTTCAGAAAATTATCATGTTTCGTGGTTACATCAACTCATTTCTGTTCGTGTGAAATTCTCCATTCTCCCATCCCAAATCCAAAACCTTGGACTTGCTTAAGGACTCCCCAAAACATGAAAAGCTTTCTGAATAGATTCCCCAAGTAGTGGATTTTGCATTGGGAAAACCAAAAAGCATCAGCAAATCCAGGTGATTTCATATTCTTCCCCAAAAAACATTTATCTATATTCTAAACATATATATATACATATCACATACACCCATTATCCCATATTATACAAGATTATCCCGTATTATCCAATCATGAACAACTTATGAACCACCAATATCCCACAGCTCACCACGGAAATCACCGGCCCTCCACCTGAATGCGAATCCGAGCCAAAGGATGTTTTGCCGCTTCTTTCTGAAGATCATCGTGAATTGCCTCCTGAGCCGCGACACGGCAGTTTTTTGGCGGGGTTTTCGCGAATGGAGACAGCCCAAAAATGATGATTGAACCGGCGAAATTTAGATTTCACCTCGAAAAATTGTGATTGATTGCTAATTTTGTAACTTGCTGCAAATATACTCTTATATGTTGGCTTTATTATACATACATCGAACTAGTTAATGGAGGTTAGCAACAAACAGAACTGGGGGGGGCATCACCTTGTCGGGAAAAGAAGAGTCGCTCTTGGTTTAGTGGAAGTGTTCATTCGCAGGTCCCAATTTGGGGAAGTGTCTTGTTACATCTTGTTAGGCTGAGATTTTCAAGTAGGGCACAATGCATCACAATTGCAGTGACTCAGTTTTCTGGGACGATCTCTGAACACAAAACGCATTTTCTTAGGCTCATACAGGCTGATGCTTATTTTGCCGTAAGCAATGTCGTGCCCCAATTTGTTAGCTGATTTGTTTAACTCCAAAAGGTATCGGGTTTCTGGTGAATCTTTCTATAGTCAGTGGGGGTCATAAACAGGACACCACCTAGTAAGTGTGGACTACTCCCTTTCAGCTGGGATACATTCAGGACCTTCATGTTTTGTTGATCATTCCGGCCCTGATGTTTACTCAATGGCATGGGGGGGGTAAACCAAATAAAATAAACCTGCGTAACTTATTAACATGAGGATGTCTCAAGACAGGGGCTTACATTCATCGGTCCATTCCGAGTTTTGCCATCTGCGAACAGCGGCAGCATCTCGGAACCTCCCTCCAAAAAAAAACATGTCTGGGAAGCATGGTTCTATACTTGGATGTACATCCCACGAATCGGATCCATGGTTTATAATCCGTATAGTAGTTGTATACCCCATAGCATCCCATATAATTTAATCCAGTGGAGAGATGTCTGCCAGGGTGATGTCCTGACACTGTCAGTCTTTCGAGATGTCTTGATTTTTTCAGAAGTCGTTCGAATCTCTCCCTTCGTCTTGAAAACAATGATACGTGTTGGGACTTGGGATATGTTCAAATAGTTTGGTTCCATTAATTATAAATTGTACTGCTTGGTTGCTAGGTATCGCGGTATCCGTATGGATTGTACACTTACAATACATTACTCAATAAACAAAAATAAACCAGTTACTACCCCCGCCAGAATAAACAATCAACAGTGGTGGCTCAATTAACTTGGAAGAAATCAAATATTCATGGCAAGGGTCTAAATCAGCATCCTTAAAGCAGAGCGGTTCGAGTCTACCTGGCGTGTTGCGTGCTGGGGGTGGGGGTTGAGCCATCCACCCCACAAATCAACATAAAATTATCCGAACCTTTTAGGAAACCTACAAATCGAATGACCTACAATTTTCCCTATGAAAATTCCTCAACTGGGGCACAGCCCACTTTAGAACTAATCCATCGTTTTCCAAGTCCCGTGAAAGCCATCAAAACATATCCCAAACCGTGTTTTCATGGTGCCAGAAAAAACATCAGCAAACAAACTTGCCCAAATTTCACCATCGCCTCACCATATTCGATCATAGCAACAATTATAGATATGTTTTTATGTCCCTCGGTGGTCAGGGGGATTAGGTCTCTCAAAACTTGAAAAATAAATCAAGTCGAAGCGACGCTTGATCCTGTCCCGCATGCTTTTGCGGATTCGGTGCTCGAGCTGGACTACTGGATGCTCGAAGTGGCAATATCTGCAATCAATGCCTCGTTTGCATCCTTCAGGACTCGAAATGAATACCTCACGGACGAAACCAAGATTTTTTCATAGCGCATCTTAATATGACATAAATGGGACAAGACTGATCACGATTGATCAATATATCGGGTGCAATGAATGATTGTTGTTGCTGTCTGTGTATGGTCTCAACCCAGCCAAACAGCATTTCTTGAAACCTATGACAACGCGTCTTGCTTGGATTTTATGACAAGTGGACCTAGAATTGGGAATGCGCATCAGTATGAAATATATAGATATTTGTATAAATAGTGATTATATGATATATATATATATATATATATATATACATATTGATATATATATATATGTGTTTAATTATGTTTATCATTTATCATACATCCGCAATTAAAAAAAAACTTCGCGGCAAACGGAACAAACTACCCTAAAAACTGGTTCTCAAGTAACTTGACATTTTCAGGTGAAAAACTCTCTCTCTCTCTCTACCTCTCAAACCAGCAACATGCTGAGAATCGTCAAAACCACGGCAGTTTCTGTAGGCCAAGTGGCGGGTGATCATCATTAGATCATTAAGCGGTTCCCGGAACACAAGCAACGCAAATCACCATCATTAAAAAAGAAGTAGGGTCCCTCGGCCCCTCATTTGTTTGAATTAAACAATGTGCCAAAATGCTGCACGGTCGTTTTGCTCTATGTTGGAGCCACTTGTCACGGTAGTCACACTGATAAGAACAGATACTACATCACTGCTCACGCTGCATACATGTGAGGGTCTGGATCTGCAACTGAACTTTGACACCCCACCTCGAAGTCAAACAGTCTTTGTTTGCCATCGCCTTTCTTTACATTTTGCAGCATGCTTCTGTTCCTACATTGTTTGCACCTCAGGATTCAAAGTTGTTCATCCTTCTAGTTTCTTCTGTCGGTGAACTGTGCTATCCTACAAACCTAAACTCATCCACCGCTGCCACTACCACGGCTGCCAGCGACATCCAGCGACTCCTCCAAGGTGTTCACCACTTCCACCAATGCCACCAGAGCCGCCAGCGCCGCCATCAGCGCGTCCACGATGTCCATGGGCCACATCGTCGTAGTCATAGCTTCTGCTACCTCCATGACTTTCTCTTCCATCATCACCATGGTCTTGGTCATCTCGATCTCCAGGTTGAGAGGGATCGTCTGTATACGCATCTTCTTCTTCTTCACCTTCTTCATGTCTTGGGCTTCCAACCTCAGTGTCAGGCTCCTCCAAGACGTCCACATCTTGATCATCATTCAGCCAGCTAATTGTTTGTCCAGCTGCTTCAATCCAAAGTTCTCCACCTCCACTTTGACATTTCACCAGCAAGTGCTGCAAATTCCTCAAAAGACGTTGAAGACGTCGTTGCTCCATTGGGTCTGCTTCTATGTGAATGAAATTGGCCAAGTTGTTGCAATTCAAAACCACAAGGTGTTCTGGCCCAATTCCCTGCATCAGCAAATCCCAGCGGTAATCATCCAAAGCATCTGGCGCCCTTGGTACTGGAGAAATATGAAAGAAATTCGCCGTAGGGATGCTACTGAGGAAATAGTTGCTGTCTGACATGATTCCAATCAATGGGGGCTCTTCTGAAGTTGACGGTTCTACTCCACTCAAACGTTCGTCCTCCATCATCTTCATTGCTATGTCCATTGCAACCCTCCTTTCCACATTTCTTGCCAAAGGTTTCGGCATTGCTTTTGCTGTAGGAGGATGTTCTTCACCATCAGAACCTTCTCGTGACCTTGACCGCGTCGTAGCCCCACCTGCGCCAAGATCATCAGCTGTTGCGAAACCATAATGGGTTTCACACCATTCATCAGGATCACTGACTTCGTCCATGGAAGATCGGATGTAGCGTTGATACCTTTGTTCAGGTGATTCTCCCACCACAAAAGATTCATCTTCTTCATCTTCTGCACCACCAGGTTCTCCATCGTCTCCACCTTCAGGTAGATCAGGATCTTCTCCATTTGCAGCAAAATTCTGTCCTTCTCTTTGAAGTACTCGGCGTCGAAGTCTCGAAACTTCAGCATCCCCTTCTGCACTTCCAGCTGATTCAAATCTGCTGGAAGTCAAAGTTCCATCGGCTGCTCCTGAAACTTCTTCATCTGGGCTCATCCGATCTTCTTCTTCTTCTTCTCCGCCTGCTTCACCAAGTGGGTCATCAGCCAACTCCTCACAATGAGGAACTTCTCCACCTGGATGTTAAAAGCGCATTGCCTCTCGAATTTGTCCCAGAGTTGTGCGGTAGGTTGGAAAATCTCCTCCATTTTCTCAGTCAGCTTGACATGAAAAGCATGCGAAGCATCACCAAAATCAAGAAAAGAATGACCACCATTGCCACGTTCAATCTCATCCTTGTTGTTTGGCAATCTCCTTCTGCTGCTTCAGCTGCACTTGCAGTTGCGCTCATCCATGAAGTCTAGGATCTCCATCACAACCACGCAAGTTTGTTGCCATGATCATGTTCACGATCAGCTTGACCAGTTGTTTTTTCTTCCCTTGGTACGGGATCTCATCTTCATTCTCAAACGTCTCACTCGCCAAGCCAAGGCGTTTCATGAGAAACTCTCTTCTCTTTCTTGACAATGCCTTTGTGTTGAGGTCAGCAGGATTCTCCGTGGTTGAGATGCGGTCCACCACAAACCATTGTTTTCGCATGGCCTGCTGTGTCCACAAAAGCCTCGTTGACAAGTGTTTGGTTTTTCCTGGACCAAGCCTTGCAAAGAAAGCTTGAGCACTTGTTGAGCCCAATCTCAACGCATCATCACGCGGCTTTGGTTGCACAAACCACCCATGTCGCCCACAAGAAACTGCAACACCAGTTTCATGTAGATCGCCTCAGTCAAAAGGCTCGTTGCCGCCAAGATCTCAGCCTCCGTTGGGCTCAAGGAAACAGATGTTTGCGACCGGGAATGGCTGTGAATCAAGCAGGAATTCAAAAAGATGACGCCTGAACTGGTACTCGTCCTGCTCACTTTGCATGATGCCCAATCACTGTCGCTGAAAAGTTCAAGCATGTAGGGCTTTGTCTCATGCTTCACCTGTCCACCATATCATTTTCGCATAGCTGTTTGGAAGAGTTCCACTTTCTTGTAGAACAGCTTCATGAGCTCCTTTGACAATTCTGCATGGAACTTATTGATGTACTCCTTGGTACCAACCACCCACACATCGTCAATGTGCACTGAAATGAATGCCATCTCCTCTTTGTGCTTGAAGATTGTTCCTCGAAAGTTGATGAAGCCATAGCGCTCACAAACTTCCGTGAAGAATTGGTTCCACTCAGATGCCGCTGCTCTTTGTCCTGGAAGACACCTCTTCAAGATCCAGAAGCGCATCCCATCTCCATGTTCTCCGCTTGAAGCGCCCACACAGGGATCTCGATCAAGACAGTTGTCACTAGCGGCACTTGTAGAAAAGCATCGCCAACATCAAGGGAAGCAATCGCCAATCCATGTAGCAAGCTCAAAACGATCAGCATCTTCACCACAGCCAAAGGTGTTGTAGGGCAAAAAGTTTCAGCATTGCTGCAGTCTCCATCTCTGAACTCTCGAGCAACCAACCTTGCTCTTCTGCGCCATTTGTTTTCTCTGAATCTCCAGTCTCACACCAAACGGGTGTCCAATCTGACACATTGATCAATGTTCACATCAGCGCCAACTGTCCCAATGACGTCCAGTTTTCGAAGTCGAACTAGCTCCAATTGCATCGCCTCAGCATCACGCCAAGACAGCTCTTCAGGAGAAACATTGGGAGGTCCAGCGCCTTCATCATAGAAACCATGTTTGCCTTGTTCTTCTTTTGTCATGGCAACCTTGTTCTCATCCAACTCAAACGTCTCTTCACAAAACTCCCAGTCGCAAGACTCTTCAGGAAATGCAATGTCCAGCTCATCTTCATTGTACAATTCCAGTTCATCGACCACTCTTCTCACATGCCTCGAAGTTGATGCATCAGCAGGACTGCTGCTCAAATTTCCTGCAAAAGTTGGGCTATACAAAGCCGTTCTCTGCTGCTTTGGACTGGGTTCTGGGATCTCTGTGTTGGGATCAAAACGCACAAACTTTGCCTGACTGCTTTCACCTTCTGGTTGTGGACCTCGTTTGCCAGCTTCAGCTTCTGCAACACGTTGTCGAACTGGTATAGGCAAATGCAGATCACCTGGTGCTCTTTAGTCACGCGCCAACTGGGCTTCTTCATCCTCCATAGCTTGTGATTCAACCGCAGCCCCACCTTTTCCTGTGAACTTCTGGGCTGTTCTGGTTCATCTTCATCTTCAAGATCTTCTTGGGGATGTTGTCGGGCATATTCTTGGATCCTTCTCATCCTCATCAAGCTCAGGCTCCACTCCATCAGCAGATGCACGTCCATCACCAGGTCCATGAAGTAGAGGTAGAGGATTTTCTGGGACCTTCGAAGGTTTCACCTCGGTGTTGACTCCACGTCTCATGTCCAAGGGCCCAACCTCCAATGCCAACGCCAACTCTGAATTCCAATGTTCAGCCACCTTTCAAATTGCACGGCTTCTGATGACTTCAGTTTGGGAAACAGCCACAATGTCCATGTCTGCATTGTCAAAGCAAAGAAGTCATAGATCTTGTCCTTCCACGTAGGGTGGTCAGGCAGTAGGAGAAGAAGGTCTTCTTCAGCCTGAAGGCATTCCAGTTCAAGGGCTTCTTCATCCCACCGGCGTTGGTGAGGCGTTGCATTCCAGTCAGCCAGGATGATGGTGGGAAGAGTCTGTTGTTGTTGTGAGGAGTTGCCGGAGGTCTTGAAGGGCATCCGCGTAGTGAGCAGAGGGCTGGTGATGATGAGGCAAGTGGCCAAAGAGTACCCAAAAGTCAAAGCCATTCTTGTTGAGGATGCGTGCACCGATGAAGCGCTGCCCCTTGAGGGTGCGGAGGATTGATGTGGCGAAACTCTTATCAACGAGGAGGGCTTGAGTTCATCGTGCAATTGGGCTTCAGGACCAGGGTGCCAGAAGCCATTGGGATAGAGGTTTCCTTGGGAAAGTCCACCGACCTCTTGTAAAGCAATGACATCAAAGTGAATTGCCTGATCTGACAGCACGTCAGCAACTTGAAAGAGCGATTTGCCCCTGACATTCCACGAAGCAAGCTGTAGGAGTTGCAAATGCCGAGTGTCAGAGGGGTGTCGCTGGTGCTGTTCTGCTTCAGGGGCATGCAGTGGGCCAGTGTGGGCACGAAGTCACTCAGCCGGCGGGTCGGCGAGGACCCGCTGGAGCTCAGAAATCTCTTTGCCTGTGACCTTTGCGAGTTTGTAGAGGTCAAAGAAGAAAGGGAGTACATCCGGATGGCGTGGGTCATGGTAGTTGGCCTTGTGAGTTTGACTCGCAGAGAGCAGCATGAGATCGGGCTCGCTGAAGGCAATAACCCGAAGGTCGCGGACCCATATGATCTGTTTGTTCCAATCGATGTCAACCGTTTCCTTGCTAGCGTTGTCAAAGAGCGGCTCCAAAATGCTGGCTGCATATTTGGTGGCACGGTTCTTGAGGCGTTTGTGTGCACTCTTGTGGGGTGTCATCCATGCAGTTCTGCCGGAGCTTGGGATGATGTGCTTATCTCTGTGTTGTGTTTGGCATTCAGCTAGTCGTCGCTTTGCGTCTCGGCTCGGCAAAGGGCGAAGGAAGACATGACAGGCAGAGGCCCGTCGGCCGTAGACAATCACATCAGTGACCGCGTCGGCAATGCCAAAAGTTTGAAGCAGTTGCTTCGCCTCATGCTCAACCTTTTCACGTCTGGTGTCCATGTGCCAGCCACCAATGACAAGTCGATTCCAATCTACTTCAATGTCCACGGATTGGAGGGAGTTGGACAGACTGGGGCGGGGGCGACTGGGGGACAAAGTGCTTGCTCGTTGGGGGAGGCAAAGGGGGGGAGGCTCGTGTTTGGCCAGGGGTGGGGCTGAAGGACTTCTTTGGTGGAAAATCTCTTGTACCTTTTGGGCTAGATCTGTCATTTGGAGCTCGAATTTCTCCAGCTGAGGTGGTGCCTTGGCATCATTCTCGAGGTGCTGGATACGGTCCTTGATGGATCAAATGTCTTCAAGGTTGACGGCTAACTGCGCGGTGTGTTGGTCAACAGTCTCGGTGATCGTCTTCTGTTGCGCCTGTATCAGATCAAGTTTCTGGCCAATGTTATGTTACTTTCCATTCTCTGTAGGGCATGTGTTATTTGGACCAAGTGGTGTGCATCCGGGGGCCCCGATGCATCAAGGGTAGGGAGCTCTAGACCATCTCCTCGAACTTTCTTCCGGGGGGGGGGAAGCAAAGGGGCTAGTTGCGGGTGCCAAAGCTGCACTTGCTTGCTCATCACCAATTTCAATGGGAGAATCGATGGGAAGAAAAGCCTTAAGTCTTAAGTGTATCCTTACAAGGGGGTTTTTGACCCAAAATGGCTTTCTTGAGCCGTAGCCAAAGCCAAATTGTAGGCAGCTACTTGTTGACACAAAGGTAAACGGTAACCAGCAGAAAACTTTGCCACATGTTCACCATGAGGACTCCTACCGAACACTTCGACACAGGACAGACTGCAGACTCGATGGAAAATGGCAATTCGAACAGCGTCAAAAACTCCTCGCACTTGAGAGTGGCGGCCTTTGCGGCCGCAGCGGCATACATCTGTCAGCTGCCAGCTGCTGCAATCGTGGGTTGTTCGAAAGCCACCAGCTCATCTTTTCAAAAGGGGTGCCCCAGTTACAAAAAGGGAATCTCATTGAGAAAAAGCCCATGGCCATTACCCGTTGAAAGATCTCCAAGCGATACATGACGGACCCCCCAGGCTGTTCGCTGCTGGCGCACAATCCGTAGAGAATGCAAAGGCAAGGAATGAAGCCGCCGCGCATAGCAAATTGGTTCCCCAAAGCAGTATGTGGTTCATAAGGCTCAAAACCAAAAGGTATCAACTTGGATCTCAAACGAGGTCTACGCAGTGTTCCACAAGTTGTACAAACTGCTGGGGCTATGTGCCATGCTTTGACCACACGCCTGCAAATCAGACCAACTATTGCTGAAAAAGTGCTGGGAAGCAATACATCGCCGCATGCTCCGTCGAGCAAATCAAAACCAGGATGAACTGTGAGGCCGAGCTCTCGGTGCGCATTGTGCTAAGGTGGCCAGTTCCCCGAAACACTTCACAAAAATCCCATAGAAACCCTTCCGAAAGACCTTTTGGGATTGAGTCAGAACCAGCTATCTCTTCACCACACATAGACATGAAAGCCCCTAAGGTACTGTTGTCAATGCGTGTGTAAAATCCCCGCTGTTCGGCCACTCGGCAGAGCTCGAGAGTGCAGCTTCTACTGACATTGGCATAGCAAATACCACCACCCGCAGTTGAGGCGTCGGTGCAAAACACCTTGCTCAGAGGAGACGCTCGTAGATTGGTGTAAGCAAATGGAGCACAAATACATAGAAGTAGCAGTTCTTGTTTTGAACCAGTGGACAGCTTGAAAATCTCTCTTCTAGGTAACTTGATACCTTCGTGAAAGACATCTGAAAGCAAGCTGAGCAAGGGTCTGCGGAACATCAAAACAATATATCCAAGAGCCCACAATGGTCTCCAAAAGTTGCTTGGTGGTATAGCCAATGTGAACCAGTTTCAAAGTCAGCTTGCACAACATCAAAAATCACAGTCGGGGTGCGCACACGAGGCCCCTCCTTCCATCGATCTGACCACCCAAAACAACAGTGTCAAAGAAATCGCGCACAGCTTTCTTCTGACTACTTCGAAGTTTTGCTTTTTCATAGGCCTTGTTTGCACGGTTCAACAACTCTCGGTCTTTGCGGCAATCAGATCGATCTGTCGGAAGAGTGCCCTTCGGAACTTTGTGGAGCACAGCACAGTCGTCAATGCAAAACAACTGCAACGTGTCCCCACTAGGTAACTCTTTTTTGTATTGGACCCACTGCTCGTCTTTGAGGCATCCTGCTCGCTTAAGTAGAACACTGTGGGTATGCTGAGCAACTTCGACTGCAAAACTTGTACCCATAGCCAAAGAACCGAAGAAACCAACTACTTGTTTACCAGCCAGTTCTTCTCGCCAACAGTTCCAACCACGAAAAAGCTCTGCTGGGAAAATGCCATGTATGTGGTTACGAAAAGCATGGGGATCACTCACCACGAAGCTGTGATAAACATCTTCCAAGTCATCTGCACCAATCACTAAGTCCTTATCATCCTCGAGATACATACCACAAATCAAGCTACCATGAGACAGAGAAAGGGTGGAACGATTCATCACCATACGCCTACCATTTTCTGGAATAGGGTTAAGGATCTGTCTGTCCTTTTCAACAGATTTGTAGACAGCAAATAAACCACATCGATATTTGCGTTCAGAGTCCTGTGCATCGAGGAATTTGAATGTACAGAGTCCCACTTTCTAAACAACTTGAGCAACTCATCCTTACTGCAAACAACTCTATAGCCTTAGGCCACTGGTCTCCAGGAAGGAGAAAGTGGGAAGGATCTTGGAATCCAGCTTTGAGGAGAGGATCGCAAATGTACCCATCAGCCTTAAACTCAGGGGGATGCTTAAAGCTAATTCGGTCAGCAATGAGTCCTACAGCCATACTGTCTTGCAACAAGTCAGAAGGCATGGAAAGGCCAGTGCCATGGCCGGGACATTCCTGTTCTGCAGCCACAGTTCCATCAGAAACTGCACGGGCCGAGTCCGCTTCATAGTCTCCATCAAAATTGGCACTGCTCGGCAATATAAGGGTCCATCTGATTCCTTAGAGCCACAGTCGTACCTGAAAGATGCTTGCTAGGTCCTGGACTTAGGCGGTAAAACAGCAGTAGCGATTGCTCCAAATCAGCTAACATCCTACTTTGGGCTTGGCTGGGAGGCAGCCTGGAATCAGATGGGACAAACTTACTTCTGCCCGTAGTTAACCAGTTACAAGCAGCGACAAAAGCACGCAAATGCTCCCTCACAACTGCTCTCAGGTTAAATCTGCTCCGGCGCCTGCCAGATGAAATGGGTGTAATTGGGACCAATTTATCTGGGATTGGGCAAGGCCACAACTGCTTGGAGGGATAGTGGCTATCCCTCATCATGTGCAGGTGCATGGAATGTCGGCAAAAGTTCCCTAAGGGAGTGCGACTATCAAAAAGATTAGAATGAGATCTACCCCAAAACTTACAGAAGAAACAAACTCAGGCAAAGTGGCTTTGCGAGACTCGGCAACTTCTGCATGCAGCTCATCGGCATTGCGACGGGCATCAAGCAGATGAGAAAACTTTAGCGGCCGCTGTCGTCCGCTGCCTCTGGAGTCTTTTTTGGCCCCCCTCTTCGGTCGGAATGGCTTCTTCTTGGCGGCGGCATCGTCGCCTGGAGTCCCGTCCAAAGTCTTCGGAGTCCCCGGCCATACGTACTTGTTGCTTTTCTCGGTGATCCCTTCTAGATCTCGAAGATATGCCAAGTTCGTCGCGACCCATCTCGGATCGCTCAGCTGGCCATGAGCGTGAAGACTGTTTGGAACTTTGTGCATCTCGGTCATGGCAAATGGTGGGTCCTCCAGGCCGGTGATCAGATGGGCCATGCAAAGTCCCCCCGCATCGTAGCTGGCCTGCTCCGCAAAGATGGCATGCAGACTAGCATGCGGAGTCGGTCGATATCTTGACGCTCTATTGCCTCGTACATGGCGGCTGCATGAAAGGCCTTGTGGGTCAGGGTCTTGTGGGTGCCCAAGGGAACTTGATCTTGAAAATGGTACCACAAGTCGCGAGCCTCTAGCTCCTAAACATCGCCCTTTCTGCGAGCGATGGTCAGTCGCTCCTTATTGAAGATCTGGACCACCTTCATGGGCTGCTTCCTGAATTGTTCGTTCAGGAGCTGCCTTGCCGCGATGCCTCTGACCCCTGCACTTTTTGGGGCTTCGTCGCCATCGAGGCCGGAAGAGCTTCCCAGAACCGCAAGAGGTTTGAGAAGCCAGCAGCTTTTCCAGGGTCGAGCCGCTCATCGGCACCTCCGTCTATGTCTTCCAGATCTTCTTCCTCTAAAGTGCCATCTGCACGAGCCGGAAGAGGGGGCTGAGAAGGAGCTGCAGTTCGATCCTTTGCTCCCAAGTCGCCCAACTTGCCCGGACCTCGGCCTGCCAAAGTCTGCCAGGAACGTCGAACATCTGAGGAGATGCTCTCCCAACAGGGAGGGGGCCAGTCCATCGAGAGCGTTCAGCCGGTCCTTCGTGCCAGTAACTGTCCTCTGAGTGACTGACCTGTGCCTGAGCCAGAAGCTGCTCCAACAAAGCAGCTGTTTTGCCAGAACCAAGGCCATCTGCTAAAGGAGTGTCTGGGGCCTCTTCGTCCACCATTTCGCATACCATCAACTACTGCCCAGGCGCTATACAAAAGTTCAAAATAGACCTTAAAACCGGGGTCTAAGATCAAGTTGTATGGTTCTCTGGGTATGTCTGAAACATACGTTCAAAAACAGGCTAGGGTATCCACCGAAAAGGTCTAAGATATCTGATCCCCTTACCCAAACAACGGAAATTGGGGAAAACGTCAGAAGGAAAAATCAATATAGACCTCCGCGCTGTGAGGTCTAGAATGGTTGGTTCAAAATGTCATGAACGTCAACTTCGTGAAAGCGAAACCAATCCATGCCAATCATCAAATCATCGAAACAGCGTGTCATCTTTTTTTGCACTGTGATTGCGCAACACAAATGCAACAAAACCTGATCAAGTTTTTTTGGCTGTTTCCCTTTTGGATGCTGTTGTGTTTGCCAGACGCAGCTTAGAGAATTTTGGACTGGATGATTTCCCCTAATAATGCAGACGATCCTTGTTTGTTTTGAAGGTATGGCCTCACACCTTGGGGTCTGACATCATGTTGTGGATTCAAAGTTGGTATTATCCTAGGGTTTTGTGAAACAAGGATTTGATTTCAGACCCAGGTTGCTACCACAGTTTCCTTTCTGGAAGCGGTGCGGGACCACAGTGAGACGCGCAGTGCAGGTCTAGAATGATGTTCTTAATCCATATGATACAGCAGCAGAGCTGCTTTTATACAATACATTCATGGTAGACCCAATATATCTCAACATCTTTGTAAAATATATAGTTTTATATTTTATATCCAGAAACATCCAGAAACCTGATCAAGTTTTTTGCTGTTTCCCTTTGGATGTTTTTGTGTCAGTGTTGGAAGTGTCGAGACTTGGACAAGGTTTGAGAATCTTTGGGGATGGCTTTGCATGTTGAGCGTGCAGCAACCGTGCATGAGGTGCATGTACATGCGTTTTTTTCGGACACTGCGCGGGCCCAGAGTGAGACGCGCAGTGCAGGTCTAGAATGATGTTCTTAATCCATATGATACAGCAGCAGAGCTGCTTTTATACAATACATTCATGGTAGACCCAACATATCTCAACATCTTTGTAAAATATATAGTTTTATATTTTATATCCAGAAACATCCAGAAACCTGATCAAGTTTTTTGCTGTTTCCCTTTGGATGTTGTTGTGTCAGTGTTGGAAGTGTCAAGATTTGAACAAGATGTGAGAATCTTTGGGGATGGCTTTGCATGTTGAGCGTGCAGCAACCGTGCATGAGGTGCATGTACGTGCGTTTTTTCGGACACTGCGCGGGCCCACAGTGAGATGTCAAGGTCTAGGATTACATTCTTAGCGCATATGATACAGCAGCAGAGTGCTTTTATACAATGCATTCATGATAGACCTAATATATCTCAACATCTTTTTATAATATATAGATTTTTATTTTATATCCGGAAACATCCAGAAACCTGATCATGGTGTTTTTTTTGCTGTTTCCCTTTTGGATCCTGTTGTGTTTGCCAGACGCAGCTTAGAGAATTTTGGACTGGATGATTTCCCTTAATAATGCAGACGATCATTGTTTGTTTTGAAGGTATGGCCTCACACCTGAGGGTCTGACATCATATTGTGGCTTCAAAGTTGGTATTATCCCAGGCTTTTGTGAAACAAGGATTTGATTTCAGACCCAGGTTGCTACCACAGTTTCCTTTCTGGAAGCGGTGCGGGACCACAGTGAGACGCGCAGTGCAGGTCTAGAATGATGTTCTTAATCCATATGATACAGCAGCAGAGCTGCTTTTATACAATGCATTCATGGTAGACCCGATATATCTCAACATCTTTGTAAAATATATAGTTTTATATTTTATATCCAGAAACATCCAGAAACCTGATCAAGTTTTTTGCTGTTTCCCTTTGGATGTTTTTGTGTCAGTCTTTGGGGATGTCTTCGTGAAACAACGTGTCACTCTTCTTTCAAAAGCTAAAAGTGATGTTTCGCAACTTGATGGTTCCAACAAAATTGGACAACTGATGCAAGGGAACACACTGAAAAAGGGTGTTACACAGCGTCGCCACAGCATGAAGCCGCCCGATCACAGGGAACCCTTTGCTGACAGATTTATTTGACCGACCCCCCAAACGCATGTGCAGATTCAGCCAGGCAGACAAGGTCTAAGATCAAGTTATGTTAACATTGAGGCCAAAGGTCTAATATCATATTTGTTTTCGAAGATGGGTTATGTTGTACAAACCTGAAGGTCTAACATCTTCCCAGCACGAAGGTCTATTATACTTCAGTAGGGACTGTAGACCTAGCTAAAAAAATTCCCTGAGCTACCGGCATTCCAGACCCTGACTAGTTGAGGGGATCATTTCGCCACCTTCTTGTGCAGAAAAGTAAGGATCGAGACGATGGCCTCCAGTTTGCACAAATGATTGAGCTATGTTGAAGACTGCCACGGCATCTGGCAGCTCTAGAGTCCGAAGCGCACCACATCTTCTCGACGGATGCCATCTGGGACAGAGGAGCTGAGGTTGGAACATGCTGACCCTTCCAAGTCGAAAATCAGAACACTCAAAGATCTCAAAGTGCGTCTGGACTTCTTGTTGAACACCGGAACATCAGCTTCGGTGAAGGGACCAACGACTCCGAGATAGCCGCAGCTTTCCGCATCCTCTAGCTCGTTCAAAGGAATTTCTGCTTCACACCACTAAGGGAGGAGAGGACCACCAAAGCTCGGCAGCAAACTCCTGCAAGAGTGAAATAGATTCGTGTGGGACCACCCGGATCCTCACACGTAAGCATTCCGTCAGGGAGTGCAATCATATAGTCCTGGGAAGGCCGGCAAGTCCGGCCCCAAAGCAGAAAGCTTCCGCCTCCAGCTGTGATGCAAACCCGTGGCTCACAGCACGGGGAGCAATTGAGCCGTCAGGCTCAGTTCGAGCCGCTTCCTGATGCAAGGAAAGGTGAAGAAAGGATCTTCAGTCAGGCCCCCTCGCAACACAATGTAGCACCGATTTCTCAGCCGACACCTCTCCCCAAAGAAAGATCCCAGCTCACCTTGCAGAATGCGTATAGAGCTTGGCAACCACGATCAAAAGCAAGCTCAAGGCGTTGCAGTCCAGAAAGATCGCACTCAGCCCGAAGACGCCCAGCCGCGAGGGTGAGCGAAGAAGACAAGCGCTGCTCTGCAGGATGCAGCCACCAAGGTTCCAAGGCCACAGGCAAAACTGGTTCAGCACTAGTAACTGGAACCGAGCTATGATGTTGGCCCTCAGCAATTGGTTCGCTATCCCCTACAAGTTCCCAGTGATCAACAGACTCAACCGAAGAAGGAGATGAATCAGCCAAAGTGGATTGGTGGGTCACTAAAGATTCAGCCCTAAGGTGCTCTAACAGTCTGCGCACCAGAGATCCCCAGCCAGGCATTCACTGCCGAAGCCTGTCAGTCCTAGGCACAACCGCAGGTGCAACCTCGCGCAAAGCCACTGCCAGAGCTCGAAGTAGGCACCCTCTGAGTCCAGGTGAAAGGATCAGGGCAGCAACTGCGACACCACAGCAAAAGCCAGCAATCCAGCTCAAAAGCACCAGCAGCACAGTATCAGAGGTGCGGCTAGGACACACGACCGACTGAAATGCTAGGGGCAACAGGGCTAGCTTCTCCCACATCCAACTTGACCCCAAAAAAGGCTATGAGGCAAACACGTTCACCCGAACGCTTGAAAGGACAATTAAGCAAATCTTTGCTGCAGTACATATGGCACCACTGACACTTTTCCAAAACTCTGAATTCCTTGGTGGTGAAGACGCAAACAGACTTGCAACGGAATCATTATAATTCTGCCGCTGAGAGGCGTTTGGCTTTATATATTTTGGAACTTTAGAGCAGTCCGTCACTTTATGGGCAGCTAGTTTAATACGGATTTGGATCTCCACATGCAGTGATCTGAGTGCATATAAAGATCTGTGCGGCTCTGTACATCTGTGCATTGATTCCTCTGTTTGCATTTGGTTGCCCAGAAATCCAACTGGGCATATTTATCCGGTAAAAGAATCATAGTTCCACCAATTCTTGCCCTTGTCCTTCGTCTTTCCTTTGTTCTTGCCCTTGCCTTTGTTCTCGACTCTGTCAACTTCCATAGGTTGTGCTCCACCAGAATCTCCATGAAGTACTCTGCGCCGACTTCAAGACAGCTTCTGGCGTCCAGGCACGGCAAGCTTTGTCATATCCCAACATAGTTTCTTTCAACTGGGCATATGTTGTCTGCTCTCCAATGGTGAGCTGAAGGTACTCACGCAGCTTTTGTCCACTGCATTTCACCAAAGTAGCAATCTTCAACTCTGAGGGATACACGCTTGAAGAAACCTCCTCAAACTGCTGAACCAACTGCTCGTAGGCAAGGATCTGCTCCAGGATCGTCTTGGAGTTGGTAAACGCTGGATAGTTGCTCAAAGACTGAGCAATTGCAAGGGATCTCTGCCTCGATGATGGCTCAAACTCCTGAATCAGCGCTCTCCAACGCTTGAATCCATCCTTCTGCTTGGCCCTTTCAGGTAGCTCGTCAAGATGGCAAAAAGCTTCACGCTAAGTTCAGCTTCCACATCTGAGTAGGCTGGTATTGGGTCACCAGCTGCAAGCTTTTCCAAATTGTCAGAACATCTTTGATAGCGAGGATCACCAAAGCTCAGCCGACTGCAAAATGCAAATTTCCAACCTGCAAAAGCCATGGGATCATCACCATTGTAGACCTCGGGGTTCTTGAGAATGCGGCTAGCTGCTTGTAGACCACCTGCACCTGAAAGTCCAGCACCAGAGGATGATGATTTTGTTGCGCTCTGGCTGCTCATCAGCCCAATGGCTTTCTCAGCTGCGTTTGCAGCGTTTGTGGCAGCAGCTGCAAGCATCGACATCTGCTGCAAGAACGCTTGTTCACCAGCACCTTCCATCCCTTGACAGCATGGGGCGAAGCTAATGAAAACCAACGCCCTCAATTGCAATCTCGCCTGCGCTCTTTTCACGCGCAGTTTCTGCCTTTCCAATCGTGTAGATGACCATGTTGCCCTTGACCATGATGTAGTTTGAATTCGTTTCCATAGGCCCAAGTGGCTCCCCATCAGCAGCATTGTTGCTGCCAACGGCCAACAAATCCACATGTGCTCCACTGTCATGAGTTCATAGGTTTGCCTCACTCCAGCTTGAAGACATTTCATCCACGTAGCGCACTGCATCTTGAAGTTGAACTCCTCGAAGAACAGGAAAATGCGCTCGACCGCCTTGTCCACAAAGTCCATGAAATCCATCAGATAGGGCATGTACACCATCGCCATGCCACCAGCGTAGAGGGGCTCAGTCTCCTGTGTGAAGTGCTCCTCCATCACAAAATATAGTCTGTTCGAAGCTGCCAGACCATCACTGCAATGATTGCCGTCCAGACCCATGCCAAACTGACCATCTTCGTAGCCAGTTGATTCCATGCACGCACCTCTTTGCAACTCCTTTGGAGTAGGATGCCAGTCCACCAACTCCTTGTTGAGCTCCATGGGGACTTGAACCTCCAACGTGGCATCACAAGCATTGATTGCAAAATCTCCACCATCAACAAGGACTTGAACCTCTTCTTCTTGATGTGCTGCTTCTCGGGCCACATCTGTTGAACCTGTCCACCACCTTGTGCTAGCTGATACAACCATGTCGAACCGGGCGACATCAGCGCTTTCACCAGCAGTCCAAAAGTTGCCTGCTGTTCCAACCAGAGTTCCATTCTGACGCCAAAACGCCATCGAATTTGTGCCTCTGAAGCCTTCATGCTTGGTCTTTATGGTGGTGAAAAACAACTGGAGGCTGCAGTTGCATTCATACATGAGGTGCTCCTTTTCCATGTAGTCCCCAAAGGTTGCCAGCTGCAATGCCACCACCAAAAGCAGCCGCACCAAGGGTCTTCGCCATGTCGTTGGCTCTGGCAGCATCATTGCCCTCCTGGAGAGGGCTCCGCTACCATGCCAAAATGCTGCACGGTCGTTCTGCTCTCTGTTGGAGCCACTTGTCACGGTAGTCACACTGATAAGAACAGATACTACATCACTGCTCATGCTGCATACATGTGAGGGTCTGAATCTTCAACTAAACTTTGACACAATGTTAAATAATACAAAACAATAATCTGTGGATGATTGGATGAAAGAAAGACTCGTGGTTTGGGTATACTATGGCGATCATCATTACCTTTTGTTGTTTCAACGGGGGGGTTCAAAAAGCATGGGAAACCAACTTCTGACTGGGATGAAGCCGCAACCATGCGCCATGCCTTACCCCAAAGGGGGCTCTATGAACTTGAAAAACACGTGGGTTTTATTTATTCTTTGTTTTGAAGTTATACAGAAGCCATTTGATACCCACATCTATCCTTTTTCAATCCCAAAAATCTTCAGAGAAAAAAAGCAACCCGCCCCCAATCTCCAAGGCCAAGGTCACGCATGCCTGACACGATCCTGACATATGACTCAGGAGGGCGGACGTTGTCGCGCCTTTATCTATGACATCCTCCGGGACAAAGTCCTGGTTGAGTACGTCAGCGAAGGGCTGACCAGGCCGCAGATCTGGATTGCGTGCGCCGATGTCCTCCGGGACATCGTCCTCGTTGACGCCGTCAACGACGAAGAGCTTGCCGGGCCGCAGATCTGGATCGCGTGCAACAAAGTCCTTTGGGACCACGTGAGCGATCGGTAAAACTTCACTTGAAAAATGCGATGTTTGGGCAATGTTATCGTTTTTTTGATGTCTTTTTGAATTCACTATAGATTGTTGTACAATTTTGTACAGTATATCCTGGTTGCATCATCTGGTTCCCCTTGCAAAACGAATGTGGGAATACTTTTTAAAGCTCCACTTCACCATCTGCAGCGTCTTTGACTGCCTCGCGCTTTCTTTTGCAGTGCTCCAACTGTATGGTATGGTATGGTACCTGCCAATGCAACTGCAAGTCACAGTTGCACCGTCCTTCCCTAAGCTCAAACTCACAAGCTTTGAATTGGAAGAAGTCCGGATGAGCTCTCACAGCGACATGCTCCAGGTCTTTCACTGGCCGGCCTGCGTAGCTAAGCGGTCCAATGCCTTGGCTAAGCTTTCCTCATCCCGAGCATTAAGATCGCCAAACCGCAGCTCTCTGACTGGTGGCAACTGTCCACGAAATTGGCCCATGTGTGCAACCCGGCCAGGTCAATGAGATCATCAGAAAATACAGACTGATCACGGGCCCATGCAGTGGACAGCTGCTGTATACATCTGTATACCAGTTCCAGAACTGCAGCTGCAGTTTTATAGGGTGTAGACTAGTTTTTTGTTTTTTTTGCCTCAGGTTTTTTTTTTTTGCTTTCTTTCCCAGTACCATTTGCCTTGTATTTGCAACAGTTTGGAACTAGAACCTGTCATTTGCATGGTATTTGCATCCCTGTACGAGTTCACCGGGTCAGGTTGGGGCCTGTGACTTTCTAGTAGAAAATGTAGGTTGTATAAATTAGAGACTCATCTAGCAACAGACATCAAACCAATTTGAGGTATCCTAGAAAAATGGCAACGTACAAGAAGTGCATTTTCGAAGCTATGTTTAGCACTTTTCCTTTGAAAAACACCGCCGTAATTGAATCGCATAGTTTTGCAATTACGATATGAAACATGTTAAAAGCCACTTCAAGTTACTGCAGCCCTTTTTCTAGAGCCCAACATGCAACCCAGCGTACGGTTTCATTTTTTGGATCGAGCTTTTCGAAAATGCATATGTTCCCTAAATAGTCGCCCAGAACAGCCCACAAAACAGAAAACAACAAACGCAAGGTTGTAAAATTATGTTGCTTGTTTGTTGGTGGCTGTTGGTTGGCCCTGAAAATAATATACAAAAATGCAACATGGCATAGGCTTTGAAAACGAAAAATGTTGTTCATGACGCGTTGCTGGAAATCATTGTTACTTAAGAAAATCATGCAAAATGGCTGCAAGCAGGCTCAAACAAAGGGAATATATAATTCTTGTCAAGATAATTGTTTGCACAAACAAACTTGGCGACTTAGGCAAGCACGAGAACTAAAAAGAAAAGGTGGAGGTTCCAGGATGGTTAGATATCCACCTTCATATAATTCAGCTGATCCCCCTTGACATCGATTTTCTAGATCGAAAACGGGTGGTCGCAACCCCCACCCCAAGATGCACCTCTATAGAATATTGAAGTGGTTGGGTCAAGATCAAAATGACATCTAGGAAATCAACTTGGAAAATTGTTTCATGATGTTTCACGTACCCTTCAAGAAAAGCGATTTTCTAGGAAATCTGATGTGCTGGGGGATAGGTGCATATGTTTCTGTAATTTAAATATATTTAAATATACATTTTTCCCCTCGAGAAAATCAAACCACTCAGGTTCCACTTTTAGGGATTTTTGTACAACCCTAAAACCACATATATTTACCTACCCCATGTGCTTCAATATTCTAGGCATCCAATAGGCTTATATCTCACATCAATCACTTTGATTCCCTAGAGATTCAAACAATCAAAAAAAAATACCACAGACAAAAGAAAAAAAGTTACTCTTTCTAACTTCAGCCGCGCTCAAAATCATTTACAAAGAACACAATGAGAATAGACATAACAGGGATTTGATTTTCTAAGTGCTCCCACATGTGGAACCCCCAGGACCCAGGAGTTCCATTTTCTAAAGGTCGTCTGGGGCTTCAGCCTATTCAAATGTTCGAAAGGGGATTGTGAAAGGATGCGACGAACAAAATAGAATCACCTGCCTTTCTAGAAAATCAAGGGCCACTAGAAAATTTATGAACGTACTCCCAGAGATGCTAAAATTATGCTTCAGGATTTTGGGCTCCTAAACTCTCCAGAAAATCAGCATCTTACGACTCAGAGGTCTCCAAAAATTGTTCTTTAGAAAATTGGAGGAACTTCGAAAGCATCATTTCAGCAAATTCGAGCTTTTCGAAGGACAGAAAATCAACCCTCCTTAGGGGGGTTAACCCGGGGTTAACCGGGGTTAACCCTCCTGAAATCCTTGCTATATTTGGCTATGTTCGCCTTCCATTTTGCATGGTATTTGTCACATTTTGGTATTTCGACCTCTCATTTGCATGGTATTTGCATGTATTTGCTACATTTGGTGCTTCAAATGTTCATGTGGGTCTCTTGAGGGTTCTTTAGGGTTTCATTTAAGGTTTCATTTAGGGTTTCATTTAGGTTTTCTTTAGGGTTTCATTTAGGGTTTCTTTAAGGTTTCATTAAGGGTCTCATTTAGGGTTTCTTTACGGTTTCATTTAGGGTTTCTTTAGGGTTAGGGTTTCTTGAGAGTTTCATTTAGGATTTTTTCCGGTTTCATGTGGGGTCTCTTATCGGGATTTCTTATCAGGAGTTCTAAACGTTCAAATGGGTTTCTTTATGGCGTCTTTAGGGTTTAATTCAGGGTGTCATATAGGGTTGCTTCAGGGTTTCGTTTAGGGTTTCATTTAGGCTTTCTTTAGGGTTTCAGTTTGGGTTTCATTTAGGGTCTCATTTAAGGTTTCTTAAGGGTTTCATTTAAAGTTTCTTTAGGGCTTCTCTAGGGTTTCATTTAGGGTTTCTTTAGGCTTTCATTTAGGGTTTCAATTTAAGGTTTCATTTTAGGTTTCTTTAGGGTTTCATTTATGGGTTCTTTAGTGTTTCAATTTTAAGGTTTCAATTTAAGGTTTCATTCAGGAGTTCGTTAAGCTTTCTTTAGGGTTTCATCCCAGGATTTCTTATCAAGATTTCTTTTCACGATTTCAAAAAACGTTCAAGTGGGTTCCTTTAGGGTTCCTTTAGGGTTTCATTTCGGGTGTCATTTAGGGTTTCTTTAAGTTTTCGTGTAGGGTTTCATTCAGAGTTTCATTTAGGGTTTCAGTTGGGGTCTCATTTAAGGTTTCTTTAGGGTTTCATTTCGGGTTTCTTTAGGGTTTCATTTACGGTTTCTTTAGCGTTTCAATTTAAGGTTTCATTCAGGAGTTCGTTTAAGCTTTCTTTCGGGTTTCATCCCAGGGTTTCTTATCAGGATTTCTTTTCACGATTTCTAAAAACGGTCAAGTAGGTTCCTTTCGGGTTCCTTTAGGGTTACATGTAGGGTTTCATTTAGGGTTTCTTTAGGGTTTCATTTAGGATGTCTTTAGGGCTTATTTAGGGTTTCAATTTAGGGTTTCATTTAGGGTTTCATTTAGGGTTGCTTTAGGGTGTCAACTTAGGGTTTCAGCTAAGGTGTCAATTAAGGTTTCATTTTTTTCAGAGTGTTGTTTAGGGTTTCTTTGGGGTGTCATTTAGGGTGTCATTTAAAGTTTTTACGGTTTCATTCATGGTTTCTTTAAGGTTAATTTTGGTTTCTTTAGGGTTCATTTAGCGTTTCAAGTGGGGTTTCTTATCAGGATTTCTATCAGGATTTCTTTGGGTTTCACCTAGGGTCTCTCTACGGCTTCATTTGAGATACAAACAGGAGAGACTAAAGCAAAAGAAAATGAAAAACAAAGAGGCAGTAAATACAGGAAGCAAAGAAGCAAAGGAGCAGGAAGTAGAGCAGCAAAAACACATGACTGAAGAAAAGAACAAGTACAATAGTAGAAGTGGAAAGGACCAGAAGTACAAAAGCAGAGAAGCAGGGAAAACAGAGAAGCAGAAAAGCAAAGAAGCAGGAAAAACAAAAAGCAGAGAAGCAGGAAAAGCAAAGAAGCAGGGAAAACAAAAAGCAGAAAAGCAGAGAAGCAGAAAAGCAGAAAATCAGAGAAACAGGAAAGCATAGAACCAGGAACCCCCAAAAAAATCCAAAACCTGCCGCGAAAAAAATAAAAAAGCCCTCCCAGTTTTATAATCTGTGTGCCCGAGATGTGCCGAGATTGACTAAAGCAATGGAGCGTTGCAAGAGAATATGCAGGGCAGCGAAAAGATCAATAAGCAAGTGATAAAGGATTGAAAGGCAAAGAATCATCGCAAGAATCTTTTCGCATCTGGGTTATCCATCCGCGAAGGGCATTTTGCCAAGAAATGCTTATCGCTTCGTCATCGTTTTCGTTCTCGTTCAAAGGGGTGAACTTTTTTTGGGGAAAGGGCATGAACCAAACAAAGTTCGAAAGGAGATCTGTTGTTATCGTCACTGCTTGCATGAAAGCACGAAAATACAAAACGCTCATACGGAGGTGCATCCAAACCCAAGTAGTTACCACATAACAATATGTGATTGGATACAATACAAAACCGTTTGCAATGATCAGAAATAGAGAAATTGGCCACGATCAAGAGCGTCAGCATAATCTTGCACATTTTCCGTTTTGTGAGCTGGGAGTGACGTATAGCCCACAACTGAAAGCCTAGATGCTACTAGAACTGGCATCCACCATCATGTCATGAACACCAGCCCTTTACTTCCCAGCATACGTTCACACATGAACTGATTCCCATGTTATCGTTTTTGGGAGTTCATATATCGTTTTACAGGTCAAGATGCATGTTTCTACATGAAACATCGCTCCAATACATACCTGCTACATGGAGAGTTTAGCCTCTTTCTCACGTCCTCCACATCAATGAAGGGCTCAAAGGGCCGCAAATCTGGATCATGCGCGCGGACGCTGTCGTTCAGAGCCCTTGGCCACTGAGTTCTGGACAACCTTTTTTGAGGGTTGATTCATACATAGCGGGGCCCTAGTTGTAAGTTGGATGTGCATATATATATATATTTAAAAAAAAAGCCCAACGCTTCCTGGTCACCACTATACGTGGGGAAAGTGCTCCGGCGACGGTTTCAGATGGAACTGAACATCAAAAAAAAAAACGTCCCTAATAAAAATTGTAGTTGTAAACCAGCTTAGCTATTATGGGGGCCCTATGTATGATTCTGTATGGGCTTTTAACCATCAAAGCTGATTTTCGGATGGCTGTTGAAGAAAGCCCAAGCCAACAGATTAGTTACATGAGTGCTGGACTTTCTTTTTGGGTAGCTCATGGGCTTCCAACCACCATGAAATGCCATGAACAGTGATCTTTGGGCCATGCATTATATATACCTGGAAAGCCGTTTGAACAAAATTTTTTGTTCATTATGGGAAAATCTGGTCGAATACACCTTTTAATGATCAATGAACAATTTTACCCGTAATGACCAGATAACTTGGTCAATTCACGATATTGCTCTTGGAGGTGCGCCCGATCCTTGCATCCAAGGCTCACAGTATGGATGTGAATGATGTGAAATAAAAAAGGGGAAGATGCATGTGACCATGCACCCCAAATCGAGAATGGAAGAAATATATGATGGGTGCCATAGAATATATTATGTGGCATAGACTATATATTATAGATTCCCAACAGGGTCTCTTGAAATATGTGCATAGAAACCATGCGTCCTGATTGGGATGATTGCATCGCTGCTGAGCACGTTGAGGCCCGCTCTGATTACGTGGGGGGGGGCATCGAAAAACGAAATAAGTTTGATTTGATTTCTTGCCATGAATTCTATCTTGCAAGTACAGTTGGCTTTTGCTGGAAGCTTTTGGGCGTTCCCTTCAGAGCAAACCGGCTCAAAAAAAAAACGTTTTGCTGCCTTGCTATGGCGAACCTTTATGGTGTTGCTAAGCATTGGTGGATGGAGCCTTCCATCCAAGAGAGGGTGAAAGAGGGCGGCATTGGTGCCATTGTTGTAACCAACAATACCCAGCCCCTTGCATCCAAAGATGTACGTCATGCCTTGTGGAA